TTTCGTTCTGAGAATGACCATTGAGATTTTACAAATTTTATGCTAATCTGGGAATTGCTTTGTGTTGGGAAGTACTGTGCCAGCTGAGTCACTCGTTTGAGTGACGCGTCACAGAGAAATGAAGTGACAAGTCTAAAGTAACACAAAAAATGCAATATGTAATATACAGACTTGACTGTATGTTATATTTTGTTTTTTAGAAAAGAATTTTAGACTACATAGATGTAAGATACTTATAATTTATATTTTGTTTATTTATTTATTTTGAGATGGAGTCTTGCTCTGTCGCCCAGGCAGCAGTGCAGTAGTGTGATCTTGCACTGCATCCTCCACCTCCTGGGTTCAAGCGATTCTCTTGCCTCAACCTCCCTAGTAACTGAGATTGTAGGCATGCACCACCATGACCAGCTAATTTTTATTATTTTCAGTAGAGACAGGTTTTCACCATGTTAGCCAGACTGGTCTCAAACTCCTGACCTCAAGTAATCCACCCTCCTTGGCCTCCCAAAGTACTGGGATTACAGGCATGAGCCACTGAGCCTGACGACACTTAAAATTTTTAGATATGGTAATACATTTACCTTAAGGACCATATTCCTAACTAAAACAAATCTTGGTAATTTTGACCTCAAATTTTTGTTACTAATAATTTAAATTGTAGTAACAAAATTTAATTAATTTTGATGGACATTAATTCTGATGGAAAAATGTTTATATTCTGTCTCTCAATACACACACACACACACACACACACACACACACACATATACAGACATACATACCTGGATAAACTCATATACAAACACACACACATTCTATTTAATATACAAATACAGTTTCAATTATAACATTGTATCATGACACAGTTGTAGTCAGCACCTAAATAGTTTGTTTTCTATAGCTTTATGTTGATAAACCGTTAATTAAACTCAAGGTAACTGGGTCTGTTTTCCTTAGAATCATCTTTGTACATAAATTTCGCTTAGTAGTCCTTGGAAATTCACTTAGCACACTGCAAAATATCAAATATCTAAAATGTGAGAAGTTGTTAATGGTCTACTCTTTGCTAATTGTTTGAACCTGACCTAACATAGTCAATAAATATAAGTTGTTAGAAATGGTTTATACCACCCTCTGCATAACAGTGAAAGAAATTATATAACCCCAACTGAAAACCAGTATTTTTTTTTAATTTTGCTCAATTTTGAAGAAAGTAACGAAAATATTAAATATTCAGAAAATATACACCTATAATGTCACCTTTACTGCTATTTTCCTAATAGCAGCACTGTTAGCACTATGGGATCATTAAACTTTATATTTCAATTACTTAACTATTGAAACACTTTGGATGGAGAGTCTCTTTAAAGACTACATTCATTCATTTTAAGTTTTTACCAATTTAATTTTTTTTAATGTACAAACCACACTACAAATGTTCTTTCTTGTCCTGTATTCACATTGTCTAATATATAAAGGCCCTTGTTATTTTTAGTTGATGAAACAAATTCTAGAAGAACTAGAAATTCAAAACTTTGTTCTTTACAATTTTGAAGGAAAAATTTGATATGCAGAATGAAGCAACTTTATAGCCCTGATCATATTTTTTAATGAGATAACATTATGCCAAGCTACACAAGCTATTTTTAAAAGTAAATATTTGCATTTTGTCTATTTATAGTAACACCTTACAGTTTTAGGAAAAGCTGTATCATTTTGGCTTTAAATTCTCTTTTCTGAGTACATATTGAGAACAAAGTGAATGATTCAGTTCAACCAAGCACACCGTTCTACTCAAAGTATGATGATTGAGATGTATGTATCCCTTATACTTGTGCTATATATATTAATTACTCATAACTATCTACTCTATTTCTCTTTTATAGATATGAACAATTTTTACTGCCCAAGTTATTAAAATATTATCCTTCATTTTATCAGTATGGTATGTGCACATGGACTTTTCAGAATTAAAAGTTGCAAAACATAGAGACAAAATTATTTAATTTGAAAATTACATGCTATATTTGTATGGAAGTTCACAAACACCAATCTAATCAATAATCTCAATTAAAAAAAATCCTCTCAAAAAAAAAAAAACAAACAAAATGGATCTTGTAACCATATTTAGGTAATGGTAACTGAATATAAAGTTAGGTGGAAAGTAGAATTTTAAATTTAATGCAATTTTTATTTCTTCAAGGCACTATCTTAGAAAATTAGCATTTGGTGCTAAGTTTCCCAATTAAATATTTATGGCTTTATTGGGTAGAGTTTGGTGTTTTGAATATTTTTTAAAAAAAACCTACCTCACAAAAATGTCTTATAAATATATTAATGGTTCTCTGCTAAACTGGTGATGTATGAGACTTATGAAACAATGCCAGGTTAAAATTCAGCATACTTCTACTATTCCAAAAACATTGTAAACTTAGGCAAATCACTGCCCTCTCTTGACTCTGTTTTGTAGAGAAATTTTGTCCAAAGGAATATTTCTCAGCAGGAGAAATTTTACTCTGAGTGACAAAGAAGTAGGAAGTAATTAGGGCTTTCTGTATAACAATTTCTAAGAGTTTGCTTTTCCTCATTGTTTATGTCCACCTATAACTGTAATACAGCAAACATTCTGTCAAAAAATGAGGTGACCCTTGCAATGTTTGTTTTTGTATGTTTTTGTTTTAAAACAAGTTGAAATTCATTTAAATGTAGTTTTATAGCACCCCCCCGCATCCTAAATGGACATATGATCTTAAATGTATAGCCTTCTAATTTCCATGTTTTAGGCCACAGAAAGTTTGAGCTACTTCGGTAAGGATTCCATTTTGACTCAACAGAATTATTACAATATTTAATTACATTCTTCATTATTTAATGCCTTAACAACACATTCATTTCCGACAATACTAGTGCAATTTCATGACATTAAATGTCAATCTATATAACACATACAATATCAAAATGTGTTTTTAAATACACGTTTTAATTAAATGAACCATCTTTTAAATTTGTTTCTCTCATGGTAATGCCTAGGGTTTTTGATGCAATAATCTGTGAAACTTAAGATCTCTGGAAAAGTTTTAGAACCCCAGCTCTCAAGTCCTGGTTCTTTAAGAATGTTTCTTTCTTCTTGGTGACTCTTAAAAATAAAAATCATCATTCTACTCCAAACGTCAAGAGAAAATGAATTAATGCATCTAGATTTTTCTTTACTTTTTATGTTACCAGCCTTTAAGAGGATCACAAAATATAAGGAGAACCCAGAATAAAATATGATGAACTTGTGTTACTAATATTCAAGTATATTGTATAATTGTGGGCCTGCAATAAAAACATCAAGCCTTGTTAGACTTTTATAGAAAATCTTTTATTCTCTTTAATTTTTAAGGGCAATTGCTTATACAGTTTCCTTTTAGGAATTTATTATCTGGGATTACTTCTCTTATTTTCAATGATACACAAAAAAAGGCGAAAAAGAACTCTTTGAAGAACAGTTCAATAGTCCAAATTGTACTGAGTTAGAGATTATTTCAAATTCAGTGCTTTGTCTGAAAACATTTTCATTAGCATTTGCCGTTAGGACTATGGAAAAATTGGAGTATACACTATCAAAGAGCAAATTATATTTTCCAACTGTTAACTAGCATTAGAAAGGGCAACATCTTTAAATACTCATTAAAACTGTCTTTTGAAAGAGTAATCATCTAAAATCAGATACTAAAATATTATATTCCCAGACTTTAACCTCTCTTCACTAGTTTCTTCCAGCAACAAGGCCTTGGTAGTCAGTCTTTGCACATAATGATCAACTTTACCAAGAAAAGAACAATCTACATCCTGTATTATTTATTGACAAGTTTGAAATTTGTGACTATGTGTCTACTCATTAACATGTTCCTGTAAGTGATCTTTAAAATTAAATAATCAGAAACCGGGTCCAAATTTATTCTTATAAAAACAAAAATAATATAACATGGAAGTACGCCTTTATTTGAGGCTGTTACAGAAAGGGAGAATACCCAGAACTCAAACCTCTCTCCTTTTATTTATGAATATTTGTATCACTTACTTCTGAATAAGTTTAACAAGAATACATATCATTTCTTTTGGGGATGACAGCAATACTGACAAACAGTCCTTGCTATGACTGCCATTTTGTCATTGCTAAATCATCCACAAAATTGTGACCTGATTTTAGTTACCAGGGACAAAGCCAAAGCATGGAATTGAAGTTTCATTCTGATTAAACACAAATAGCCAGTGCATAAAAACCTTTTAAATCAGATCTATAACCCAGTAATTAAAAAACAAAACAAAAAAAAAAAAAAGGAAGGAAGAAAAAGGAAGGAAAGGAAGGAGTGAAAGAAAGTAGGAAAGAAGGAAAAAAAAATAAAAGACACCTTAGGAGCCTGATACAATTACACAGTAGGCCTCTGACATTCTCTATGCTGGTATAATAACTAAATGGCAAGTAACACGGGTGTAAGATCCCTGTTGCATGCTTTCATTCAAACTAAAAATTTACAACAAAATCAACCCTTGGGAAAATTGCTCTTTGGTTTAAATCTTCATTACCTTCTGGAATTTTGGTAAACTCACTTTATTTTTAAATTAAGCTGGCCCCTCTTCTTTACTCCATTACAAAAGTCAAACACCAAGAACCAGACAGAAATTTCAGAATGAAAAGAGTTTTGTTTGTATGTGTGTTTTTAAGTCCAACCCCTGTATACAAATTGTTAAAAAGCAGATGTTTTAACATAGTGCTTTATTCCAACTTATCCTTGAATGAACTTCCTTCAAGTTTCAACCATTAAAAAAAAAAAAAAAAAAGCAGTCAATTTCCTGGTGGTTGTAATTTAATTAAGTAACCTTTCATACTGAGCAAAACCCAAAAGCAAAAGGGTCATTAATCTTTCTAGTGATTAGAGACACCTCTAGGGCTTCAAACATTTACCTCTCCTTCCCCGCAGTAGAAATGCTTTTAGGAGGATCATGGTTCATACCTCACATTCCCTGGAGCCAGAGATGGTATATGTGCAGGGCCCAGATCCATTAACCGATATATCCATGGTCTCAGAGTTTGTAGGCTTGTAGTCCACATAATACTCCTGTAAAGGGGAATTCATTTGTCTTTCAGACTCTCTGGCCTTTTTCCGCCGCCTCTTCATAAGAGAGTGTTGCTGGAGTTGTTTCATGCTGGCTGGGTAGCGTTTCCAAGACACATAGATCACCAAGAGGATCATGGCCACTGACAGAAAGAGAGCCACACTCCCTGCAATAATTTTGTGAAATGAAACATGCTCATACTCTTGCTCTGCGCCAGGAATCTGAAACCCTGGGGAAGGGCTTGGTGTTTCAAAGGTGGGTTGGGTGACGTCAGGTTTGAAGATGGTAGGTTTAGGGATAATCAGAGGTTTCTGGGGAGTTTGGGGCACCAGGTGTGATCTTTCTGTGTTGACCACCTGGACTTCAGAACAGATATTATATGTTTCCACTGCATCACTAACTTTTTCACCCTGGATGTGCTTAGGTCCTGCACATATCATGGTGCTTTCCTTATTTCCTTTGAAATTCTTAAGCCAATAAAATAAAGGACAAATGCTCCGACTGCATTCCCACATATTTCCAGACAAGGTGATGGATATTAATGATATCCACGCATTGACAGTTTCCTGTGAGATGTTAGTGAGCTTGTTGGAATCCAAATTCAATTTTTGTAAATTGGGGAGGCATTTAAATGTGCCCGGCTCAATTCCTTGGATGTCATTCCCTGATAAATCCAAGTTGTGTAAGGAACTCCAAGTCCATGTCAAACCTTGGCTAATGGAGCGAATCCTGTTCCATTGTAAGTAAATTGAGCGGAGGTTGAAGAGACGTGGAAAATGAGCAAAGTTGATCTTGGAAAACTGGTTGTGCTCCAAATGGAGCTCCTTTAACTTCAAGAGGCCAGCAAATGCATTTCGGGACAAGCTGCGAAGACGATTGTAACCCAAATCCAAAAAATCAAGATTCCGACAGTCTTGAAAAACTCTTATGGGTACAGTCTTTAGTGAGTTAGATCTCAAGTGCAAAATGATGAGTTTCCGAAGGCCTTTAAATTGTTCAGATTGCAATGTCTGAAGCTTATTGTAGGAGAGGTCCAGATTGCGGAGATTGGGAACTGGGTGAAATGTTTTATTGTGCAGATAAGTAATTTTGTTGGAGCTTAGAATTAATTCTTTCAGTCTACGGATCCCTTGAAATGCATCTTCATCCACTGAGCTAATGTAATTATGGTCAAGATAAAGCCATATAAGCTGGTTAAGGCCGGCAAACTGATTGGATTTGAGCTTCTGAATGCTGTTGAACCTTAATGATAAGCCTTGTGACCCTCCAGAAATGTTCTCAGGGATATCTGCGAAAGCATGAGACTCACAGTACACAATTTTGCCATCACATCTGCAGTTCTTTGGGCAAGCTCTCTGAGCCCCCGTGAGCATAACAAGCAGCAGTGTAGGAAGTAGCACCAGCACCACACTCATGCCTTTCAGCTGCGTAATTAAATGGAAACCTACGATATTAAAAAAAAGACAGATGCACATTGTGAAGCTATTAAAATAAATCACCGCCGGTTTACCAATACAGGGGCATTTCCTCTACTGTAGGAATGGGACAGCTGATTTAAGGAAAATGCATTAACATTTCGAGCATTATTTTCTTCAGTGTTGCATGTTTGCTGCTTAGGTTTCACTTTTTCTTCCTTGATCTTCAAATCACCACAGTCCCATAGAACTAAGAAAAGCCTTTTTGAGTTTCAGGAGTTCCTACTTATTTCAACATTGAAAAGCACAGAGCCTTTCTCACCACTGAATGCTGACATTTTAATAACAATAATATTTGGCTAGCCACTGTATTGAACGACAGTACCAAAAGGAAGTGTACGATGTACTCTGGTAAGGTCAAAAATGTGACACAGTAAACCTGGTACCTGTATGTCTTTCCTAGTTGAGCAAACAGGCTGTGATTTGGCAAAAGAGCTTCAGTAAGCTGTCAAGGTAACCCAAGTTTGCCCTGCCTGAATCGTGTACTTATTGTATAATAGGATCGCAATGTGTGAGCTCTGGAAAAACAGCATTGAGACTAGTATAGGCAGCCAATGAAGCATTGGATGAAGACAAATACCAGTACGAGGTGCTCTCAAGTTGTTAATAAGCGTAGATTATTGCATACTGTGGCTCCCTGCCCAATGATACAGGAGCTAAGACATCTAAATACTCATAACGGAGAACACTCCAAAGTTAAGACTGTCAAAATTCTTATTAAATATTTGCCTAAAAAGCAAAAAATATTGTGTAGTATTACTCTGTCATTATTTTAAACAGAGTGGCTTTTGCAAATTCAAAGGATAAACAAGGAAAGAAGCAGCCAACTACTATTTTTCTCCACATCACCCTCATCTCTGCTCATTTCTCACTGACTTTTTTCTCCCCAACCTCAATTAACTTCAGAAAGCCTGCAAAGTTACAATCTATTGGCACTTACACTGCATTTCCAAGTCATTGCATGTTAAGGGACTTCTTTCCTCTGTCAACAGTACATTTATTATTTCTTAATGGAGAGAAAAAAAGAAACATCTACCATGTGTTGCAGTTTCTTTTTTTTTCCTTAAATTTTTAAAATTTTAACCAAGAGGCAATCAACCAAATCCCTGATCTAAAACCCATCCTTCTTCTCAAACAGTTAAGTTTTTTTTTTTTTTTTTTTTTTTTTTTTTTAATTTAAAACCCGATCTTGCTGTCTGTCCTCTTGCCAGCTACAGACTCATTGAAATACATTCCAGCTCTTCCAGACAGGAGAAAGGGGAGGGGGGGAAAGCCAGTCACACTTGAAAAAATAAGACTGGCAAATGACTGCTGGAAATTCGGAAGCCGTGTTCAGAATCCAGCTTCAAAGATAAAACAAGCCCCTTGTGCAACCTCTGATAAAGTAAGGACCCCACCCCTACACACACGCAGCAAAGTGTTAATAGTCATCGTGACAGCCACCAGAAACATAAGCCTCGTTAATATTATCAAGAAATAGAAGCAAACACAATATTTATCTCATGCTCAGTTCCCAAGCTGTGGATACGCAGACAGCAGAGACAGTCTTAAAGATATTTCTCTAGAGTCTGTTTAAGTTCGTGTTGTGCATTTACAGATTAAAAAAAAAACACTGCAAAAAGGAAAATGATCTAAAAATATAATAGCAAGTATAGTGAATCAACTGGCAAACTCAAAGGCTGCTGCTCTTTGCCTGTTTCCCCGTCTTTTATCTGCTAATGCCACGACTGAGGATAGGAAGCCAAGAGGATCAGCTTTGCTCAGAAGAAAACAACAAAAGTTCACTTACCCATCCTTTGTCATCCAAAAACGTTTCCCCCCTCTCTCAGCTTTCTTCTTATTTGGTCTCTTGTGCGGAAACCACCACCACCTTCATGACACAGTGCGGCTGTCATTCACACCATTCTGATCCCGCATGTGAGCTAGTAGCCCCATACAAACTTCCCCGAGAGGACAGGCAAAAAAAAAAAAAAAAAAATACATATATATATACATATATATATATATAAAAATCAGCACAGGGTGGGATGGTGAGGGGGGCAGGGAAAAGGAAGCCGTTGGGGGGATAGGGAGGGGGGAGGGCCTCTAGGCTCTGAGGACCATTGTGTAATTCACCAGAGACCCATCAGCAGTAATTGGCAATCTGTGCAAAACAGCTACAGCCCATCTCGGAGGTAACCAACTTCTCCGTAAAAAGAGAGGAAAAAAAGAAAATCTTCAGAATACCTGGCATTCCTTATTGTGCTGGCTTTTGCCATTCCCAGATAAAGCAATTCATCCTCTGGATTTTCAGTTCTTGAAGCAAGTAGGCCTCCTGTGCTGTATGAGACCCCAGTTTAAAAGCTATGCAGGCTAGGTTTATCCATTTAGCTGGTCAGGTTTAAAGTGTTTTGTAGCTGTGCTGAGAGGCAGCCCTTGTCTAATTCAGAAGGCTTTCCAGAGACTGATGATGCTCAGAGCTTGTTGGTGCTAATGCTTGAGTTTGTGATACACTGAGTGCCCTCCGCTGGAGAAAACAGATTGCACATTAAAGACGGGAACAAGTGAGCCTGTCAGTGGTGTGCAGCCTTCCCTCGCTCAGAAAGGGAAATTAAAGGCACAGAATCACTATTTTTTTCTCTCCAATAATTTAAAAGGTTTATGCCAAGGAGTTCCTTTTAGTTATACCAAATATTAAGTAAAATACTGCTTCTCTAAATGCTATGCAATTAATAATTTTTCAAAGTTGCCATGACCTGAATTTTGTTTCTCTGCACATGTCACTGGAGATATATCATCTTTTGCAAATGACAGAAATCGTTGAAATTTAAGTTTTATTCACTGTTGCTGTTGGTTTGTTTTATTTATTTACATTGTTTTAAACTAACCACTTACAGAAGCAATCTTACTCAAGGGAAAAATGCAATTTTAATCAATTTTAAACAGGTTACATTTAAAATGTTTAACTCTGATTTTAAAATTCTCAACCTTTGACAATAAAATGCATTTTATAATTTTGTGCATTTTATTGAACAGTCTAGAACATTACTTTCTAAAAGTTTACATTTTAAGTCTTAAAGCAGGTATAATCTATAGTATATTGCCAAATGTGAAGGTAACTAAGGGATAAGAGTAGAATTCTAGCTTGAAGTTCTTAGTGCAGCCACTTTCCTTAAATCATCTACATTTAGAATGCAAATCATTTCTTATGCAAATCACTTATTGTAATGTGCATTTCCAGAAAAACAAAAGCACTTGAGTTCTGCATTATCATGGTATTACTCTAAAATGTGCAGAATATCTTCAGAAGTAGAAGGGATAACATGATAAAACACCTGATATATGTAATTTAAAAGAACCTACACACTTTCTTTAAGCTTGTGCAGACGTTGAAAAACATACATACAGTGCATCACCTCCATTTTTTCCTCGTTTTTACTAGTTTATTCCATAATCCTCTGGCAGATAACAATTTTTAAAATAATCCAGGAGAATGAATCAATGTAATGCAGGGAGGGACTGCTAGGTAAGATTGCTAACCTAATTTAGCAGACGTGAGAAATTTAAGTGAATTTTACATAAGCATTTAGAATTGCTGTGGATCACTGCAAATGGATATTTTTAGAAAGAGCCTTGGTTTTAGATTGTTTGCCAAAATAGTAATAATTAAGGGGGCTTATCACATAAATAACACATATAATTTGACTCAGATTTATGAGTAGGCAGTTGCAGGCAATTGTCTCATTACTAAGATTTCTTGAGGAACAGAAAGGAATAATATGTCCCCCAAATATATTCCTTTTCCACTAACTGATACTTGAATTTCTATTTTAGAAATGTGTGCCTTTGGCTTAAGGCTTAATACCTATTAAAATGCAAATGCATGCCAAAAGAGGCAGGATTATTGTGGTTGCTGAAAATAAATATATCAATATAAATGTACACATACGATTTGTTCATAGTGGTGTAGTTTAATATAGAAACACAAACCCCACCCAAATATTAATGGTGGAGGATGAGTGAAGGGAAAATTAATATACTAATAACATAGAACACATGCTGCCATTAAAATTAAAATAAAGGGTGATATTTGCTGATAAGAAATTAGACCACCATGTATAAAGTAAGGAAGGGGGGGCAGAGAACTCAGATAGTTAAGGGCAGTGAAAGGGAGTCTATTACTGTAAATAAAGCAAAATAAAATATTCAGAGCAGATTTTCCTGGAAGATGGATTATAGAAGTATCTGATTTCATCTTTTATTGTAAAATTGTCTGTGTTTTCTAATTTTAAATCTAATGAATATGTCATGTGTGATATCTATCAATACACGTTTGTGTGTGTGTGTGTGCACGTGTGTGTGTGTGTACGTTTTTCTTTGTTTGAATTCAGGATATAAAAACAGCTTTGATAGTATGTTGGGAAAACCACAGGATATTCTCTACAGCTAGAGTGTAATAACTGGCATATCTATAGTGTAATAACTGGCTAAAATGCAAATTTTGTTTAAAGTACCAGGATCTAACAGTTCTATCTTCCAAAGTACATGCTAGATTATATGCAGAATTTAAAAAGAAAGTGGCCAAAAGTCTCTTGAACACACTGTAATGATACAAATGGTAAAGAAAGTTGAAAAAAGTAGAGGATGTTGTGTGAAAGATTTGCCTGGAAGAAGCTGTTTTGGTATCATCTTTACACACACACACACACACACACACACATATACACATACACACACACCCTTCACCCAAGAAAAAGTGGTGGGTTTGTTGGCTCCTCAGCTTAACTATAGTGATAGGGACTTCCACAGGCACCTTGAAGAGCTTGTTATGTGTTGCCAACAGTGAGCCTAGCAGAAAGGGATGGTATCTGATTTCTGTTGGTATATCCAGAGGATAAACAATAGGTTTTCCAGAGCAAAGGAAAGTTAGTGTTGTGTTGAAATTGAATTTCATTTTCAAAGTTTGTATGGATAAAAATAGGTACATATGTTTTCCATGGAAGAGAGGAGGGCTATGTGGGAGAGAGAGGGTCAGTTTGAAGCTGTTTTAAATCCTGATGAGATCCCTCCTCCACCATCCCACAACGGAAAGAGTCTGTGTGAGTGCATTGCCAAATCAGGCAAATAAACAGAAAACAAACGGAAACCAATCAAGTCTGGACAGGCACCACATAACTCCAGATAAAAAGTATATTCTTTGTCTATTGTTGCCAATAGGGCTACTAAGGATCTATCAATGCATTCACAAAAAAAGAAATATGTTTCAACATCTCTTAGGCTCAGAGATCACAAATCCTTTTTACAGTAATAACAGTCAACCAAGACGTTTCCTGGGCAGTTCAAAACAGCAGTTAGTAAGTGTGGGAGGGGGTCAGCAAGAATGAGAGAAATTGACTATACTTCCTCTTTTTTCCTAGGTAGCAGATAGCCCATTTGCACCTGGTCCTACTGGGGGAATGGGGAAAAATGCTTCCAATTTATATAAAGTATTGATCAACATGATGGACTTAATATTTTTATTTACCAAATTGAGACTTCACATACTAAGAAGATAATAGGATTTCTTTGTTACCCCAAAGAGCATTCAGAGACCACACCTTGGGTCACTTGAAATTGACAATGTTGAAAGTGTTTACAACATAGAAATGGTTGCCAGCGGTGAATCTGTATCCAAACCAGTCTGCAGCAACCTGAATTCTTGCCTCCTCAGAAGAAAGAATTCGACCTAGGAGGCTGAAGGGAGTAGAGACCCAGGCAAGTCTTAGAGCAGGAATCAACGTTTATTAAAAAGCTTTAGAGCAGGAGCAAAAGAAAGGAAAGTATACTTGGAAGAGAGCCAAGGGGACAACTTCGAAGACAAATGCCGATTTGACGTTTTGACTTGGGATTTTGTATGTTGCACACTTCTGGGGTCTCATGTTACTTCTCTCCTGATTCTTCCCGTGAAGTTATCTGTCCACATGTGCAGTGGCCTGCTAGAACTTGGGAGGGAAGCATGTGCAGTGTGTTTACTGGAGTTCAACACATGGTCCCTTTCGGCATTCTTCCCTTACTAGTACAGTGTTCCTAGAGGAAGGTCATATACCAGTTAAATTCCGTCATTTTGTCTCTTAATGTGCGTGCTTGAGCCAACTCACCCAACTTTCTGAGATCTTATTGGGAAGTTGCTGATCACCAGTTTCATGTGTTTTCTATCTACTGGGAGACAGCCCTTCCCTGGTGCTGGCTGTGACCAATTATTATTTTAGAGAGACAATTAGCAACTACCTGACCATCACCTGATGGTCATCTGATATTCCTGGGTTGAGGAGGGGGGCCCTCTCCTGCCCTGTTCATGTCTGACTAGTTACCTACTGTAACAAAATCAGCAAAGGTTGAAAATTAAGTGTGATTGCCAGGCAAGGTGGCTCACGCCTATAATCTCAGCACTTTGGGAGGCCGAGGAGGGTAAATCACCTGAGGTCAGGAGTTCGAGACCAGCCTGGCAAACATGGTGAAACCCCATCTCTGCTAAAAATATAAAAATTAGCCAGGCGTGGTAGGTGCCTGTAATGCCAGCTACTCAGGAGGCTGAGGCAGGAGAATCACTTGAGCCCGGGAAGTGGAGGTTGGAGTGAGCCAAGATGGCACCATTGCATCCAGCCTGGGGAACAAGAGCGAAACTCTGTCTCAAAAAAAAAAAAAAAAAGTAAGTGTGATTTATTGTTTTGCTATGTATCTAGACTTAAGAAAGTGATACAGAAAATATTAATATAGATTAAATTTTAAAATGTACTGTGCCTGAAGCTATTTATTAAGTTGGTGCAAAAGTAATGGCATTTTTAAAAACCTCAATTACTTTTGCACCAACCTAATAATTGTAAATAGCACAAAAATGAGAAAAATTCTTCCAGTTTTTGAAAACTATTTTCTGATTGAACAAAACAGTAACTCATGTCACTGAAAAACAAGTGAAATTTCAATATATGTCTGTCTTGTTTCACTTTTGTCTAACTCGTTAATTTAAAAAAATCAGACAATACTCATGTTGGAATTACAGCTGGAAAGCCAGTTTTTAAACATTTGTATCAGCACACCACTCTACCTAGGGTTAATATATTTATTGCTCCAAAGATGAACTTGTTTTAACAAATAAATGCTAGTGATGGACTGGTTTTGAAGAATCCTTCTCTTTCTTACCCCAGACACAATTGAATGTTAAGAGAAAAAAAGACAACTAAATAAAACACTGCATGTGAGTAACATGAGGCCCCTTTCCAATTCTGACACTTTTTTGCATATAAAACAATCCTACAATATTCAGACCATGGGAACACTGGAAATAAGAACATATCTGCATTTCTTATTGAAATTTACAATAACGTTTTGGTAGCATCATATGTGATTTTTCTGTTTTGTACTACAACAGTTTGCACCTAGCGCCATAGTGACAAATTGTAGATGCTCGACAAAATATTTTAAAATGGGTGAATGCATTAGTCAATTAATTACGCAACTAATCTTACAACCACCAAT